GCCGACTGCTTTCTGAGGCTGACTCCAGCACTGACGTCATCAGAATTCATACTCATCTTTGGGTCCTTTCAATTGTGGTAAGAAAGACTGCACTTTTATCATATTGTTTAATTTCTAGCCTGGGAAAACAGCCGACATTTGGCGACGCTACCACGGGTGTCCCCGCCAAATGACGTCTGAGGAACAAGCGCAGAAATTCCATACTGATGACGCGTCACTTCCCAGATCTGGGTAGTGTTTCTGGTTGGTCGTGCCGCGTGGGAAATTTGATACAACCAATCAGAAGCACTACCCAGAACTCGGTAGTGACGCGTCATCGGTATGGAATTTCTGCTTTCGTTTCACAGACGTCATTTGGCGGGGAAACCAGTGGTAGTGTCACCAAATGTCGGCTGGTTTCTTAGGCTATTTAATTTCTACATCACTGGAAGTTTTGAGAGGAGTGGCAAAAAACTGATTTCTCTACAAAGCGTTTTACAAATGACATTTGTTGAACTCCATGACGGATGTTTTGATGTTCAGGCCAAAAATGAAAGGACCACGGACACTGTACGGAAACTACCCGCAAGAATTTGCTACGAACAAGGTCGCGTTGTTCAAAGACGATCACCGGTGTGGTCATTTACAAAACGCTACAACAGTATAACGTTGTAAGTCTAAAAAGTTTCTAAGCAGCAAACTAGTTGGCGCTTCTTGAAGATCAATTCTGCTGTCGTGTTTTGTGAATTGATCTACTTATCACGTACATTTGTTTCAATTAAAAGTGCAAGTCAGGACTCACTTACCTTCGTCTTCGAATCACATATCTGATCGTCTTGTTAATGAAGAGCATGGTCGAAACCAACACAAAACGTGTAATCAGTGTTTTGATTATTTCCTGTCTGGTAATAACACCTAACAGGGATCTGATGTTTGTCACGTGACCTGTGGATAACAAAATAGTACATCATTACACTCAGCAAATTTCCAGGCCACTTGGACTCGACGGGTACGGCCAGTTGACCACACAACCTCAGTGAGTTTCAGCTATGTTTTGGTAAGAAAGTCTTATCTCGCGCTTGACTGCGCGCGGGAAACAGTCTACAGGGTCAAGGGTCTGAAAGGAGAGGTCCTGATCCCCCATTCTCGCTTCTTTTTGAAAAAAAACATCGTTTCCCATCAAGATATTTTTCGTTTTTCCGAATCCCGCACCGTATCCAAGATCCCCAAAATACCCTTCCAGTTCCTGAGTCTGAAGTGGTTCCTTAGCTACTACGGTCAAGCTGTGCTGATATAATTTACTTTACAAACAAGATCTTCACTTACTCTTAACGTATACAGCGTACAGCTCAGAAACGGTATCAATAAACTCGCAAATCGAAGTGAAACAGAAATTAATAATCCATGACATTGTATCCCACATTCTGTTAGCAAGGTGAGTGAGTTGGCACCAAGTCCATTCTGCAAGATCGGTTGCATTGTCCCAAGTCCACCGCGCCGTCCACAACATTCGCTGCCAGGTCCACCCAGCCATAAACGGCACCTTGTCAAAGATCCACTCTGCCGTAAACTTAACTCCACCGCAAAATTTACAGGTCATTGTCGCCACAAAGTCAACAGTTGTTTTTGATGCCCTGTTTACTCCGTTCCATGTCCAAGCTGTTATCGCCACTGTATTCTTGCGTAATTTGTTCCATGTCTGCTCCGTTAGACTCAGAGGCCTGGGTTCACAAGTTTGGTTGTTGTACTTAGGTGCACTTTCTGGGTTCAAACAAGTTTGCGAGTCGTGATTCTAAATAAAACCAAGAATTTTAAAAGTAAAAGTGAAACTGATTGGGAACTTTCAGACGATTATCTTTTGATTGTTTAATGGTAAAAAGTTTTACTCTACGTGCGCTTCTTTTGAAACTATCAGAAAGTTAATCAACGACATTTTATTCATGAAAATAAATAATATGTTTGCCTTTTAGCAATTAGATTCAAGCTTTGAAGATTGACTGATCATTTAGTGACGTTACTTTTGTGAGAGTTCAGACGCACTGACATGCACTGTGTGCGGTCTATTACCTGTTCCTCTTGGAAAGTACTGTAGATGTCGCCTTGTGCAGAGCCAGTCTCTCGAACAACCACTTTTAAGTCAAGTTTCAGGGTTTTAATTTGCATCTTGATGATATAATTCTGTCGTAAGAGCAGCAAAGAACACCAATAAAGGTTTGAAGAAAAGAAGAAAATAAACTATAATTGATGCTAATTAGTCTAATTACAATGATTGGCTAGAAATAAGTGAATGCTCATCAAGTTAGTGCTTTTATATCCTGCTTTTTTCAGTAATTATCTCTACTTGTAAAAAGTTTGAAACCACACTTCAGGGTGTAGTCCCAACAATATTTTAGGAGTTCAGGTTACCTGAAAAGAAAATTTGGCTTAAAATTTGGCTTAACCGTGGGTTAAGTGAGGCCCAGTGTTTTGGATAACAAATATAAGTTATGATAAGAATCCAAGATTTCAAAGTTAGTTAAAATAGCTACCTGTATCGAAAGTATGCTAAACAGAAAAAAACGACTATGGTAAGAAAGACAACAATAGAGAGATAGTAAAGGTTTCTGCAAACGGAAAACGGTAGATTCAAGTTAAGAATTTCTAAAAATAGAAAAAAAGCTGATAAAAACAGCCCAAAGCAATTCTTATAGATGAAATCATGTACGTGAAACTGAAATTTTTTTTGTAGAAGGAAAGAACAGTTAAAAACAGGTAACGGGAAAACTTGGTTACGTGGTACAAATACATTTGCCGTTTGCCGCAAATGTGATTATAAATATCTCTAATGGTTTAGTTTATCGTAGCCGTTAAAGAAACCTTTACCTTTCCCTGCCAGTTTCCGATGACAGTTGCTCCATTTGCGAAGTCTTCATAAAAGAAATCTGGTTTTTCAGCCATGACAGAGTCTGCAGAAAAAAAGAGGTTGTAAGTTTTCAAAATTGAACTTGGTCATCAAGTTCGATTTAAAACCTTTGCCTGAAAGTGACCGTAACCTTGGCTTGATTTAATACAAATTATAGTTCATGGTGAGATTTTTAAAGAACAAAAATGATTTAAGATCATGCAAAAACCCTGATCCCAAATATCAGAATTTTTCATAGCTTTACACAAGAATTCAGTTTCGTCTGTGGCGCAGGGTAATCTTGAAATCTATAAAGCAGGGGCGGATCCAGGATTTTTTTTAGGAGGGGGTGCACTCGTCTCTGGCTCTACTTCAACGCCAATAAACCACATAGTTTTTTTTTTTGGCAGGATACCAGTTGTATTAGAAAATCGCAGGTCATCTCAGGGGGGGGGGGG